GGAGAGGGCTGTCATTATCCCTGACCAGGGACATGTGGCCTCGTGTGTGTGTGTGTGTGTGTGTGTGTGTGTGTGTGTGTGTGTAGTCAGAATCCAGGGTGCTGTCCAAAACCTCTGCAGAATGAGTGAGTGGATGTGCTGTGTCCTTTCTCCACCCAGGTTGGTCCCACCAGCCCTCTGGGAACCCCTCACTATGAGCTTGACCCAGGAAGCTCTCCTGAGAGGTAAAGGGGACCCATGGGAACTGGAAAGGGACCTAGGACAGAGCAGACCTAGCAGCCCGCCTGCCTTCCAGCTGTCAGGATGTGCCGGAGGTGCAGCGAGCCCTCGTGCCTGCGGTGAGAGAGCTGGTGCCAGCCAGGAGGCCCTGGGCCCAGCACTCCCCAGGGCTCAGGTGTGCCCTTCGGGTGTCTCCAGAAGCGGGTGGGGAGTCACATGTTGATAATAAGACCAGTCTCTCTGGGGCCACCTTCAGCCTCTCCTGCCTCCCCCCCAGAATCAGCCAACATCCACTGGTGCCCACACCCGTCTTGGGCCTGCTGCTGCTGCTCCTGCTCTCCATCCTGCTGCTGAGCCAGTCCCCGACACCCACTTGGCCACACCTGCAGCTCTACTACCTGCAGCCCCCACCAGTGTGAGACACCGTACCCCACTGTGCCTCCTTCTGTCCCTGATTCAGAGTCAGGACACGGGGCCAACATCCCTAAGTTGTTTTTATGTGACCATGACCTCCCCTGGCTTTTTCCTGTTTTCTTGACAATAACAAATCATGCAGTAATGACTTCAGCACAGGATGATTACCTCACCAAACAAGTTCAGGGAGTAGGGCACCTGGGCCTCGATTGAGTCACAGTGGGACTCAAGGTCCCTAGACTTTTTCCATCCTCTCCTGCTTCGGAAGCTGCTACTGCAGCATGGTGCTGGGCTGGGGAGAGCTCGCTGTTCCTGAGTTGTGTCCATGTGGTAGACGCTGCTGCAAGCGAGGCCCGTAGACCAGGGCTGGTCCTGCACTGCAAGTGCACTGTCTGCTCAGTCAGGGCGTGTCTGAAGCAGGCAAACCAGAGGCTTCTCTGACAGCTCCTCATTGGCAACTCCACAAAACACTGGGTCACGCAAGACCCCCTGCTTGCAGGTCTCTGAGCCCTCGAGTTGCCAGACTGCTGTGAAGGGGCCTCTGAACCTTAAGCGCGCCACAGGATCCTGCGCCAATAACTCTGGCGGCATCCTCAGCTTTCCCATGATTTACAAAGAGAGCCAAGTGGGATGCATCCTGGGAACACCACTCCCAACCCCACGCGTTCAGTTTTGAAAAGCGGCGCAGATGGGATACAGGCGACAGGGGAGGATATTACAGGCTGAGAAGTAGGCTAGCCGGACAGCCCGGTCGCGGGAAGGAGACCCAGGGGTGGGTGATTTAGGAAAGGCAGGCTGGCAGCCACAGCGGGCTCTGCGAGTAAGATGCAGAAGTGGGACTGGAACCCCAGGCCATAAGCTGTTCCCAGTGCCCAGGAGAGGGTTGAGGAGGGCAGGCCCAAGCACTGGGAACGAGACCCGCTGCCTATGGGGCGGGGTGGGGATGGAGCCAGGAGGTCTGAGCCGATCCAAGTGCGGGAGGACAGGCCTGAGCTGGCGGGAGGAGGGGGTTTGAAGAAACGTGAGCCTGGTGTGATCTGTTGGAGACAGCGGTCAAAACTCGGATTTCTGGGCGTGAGGTAACGCCTCGTTACCAACCGGATTGATGTAGGCGCCGCCCGCTAACCGGTTCGGCACGGTAGCCCGGGCTTCCGAGGAGCAAGCAGCAGCTCCGCCCTCACAGCGTAAGAGCCAATAAGGATTCGGTCCGCCTCCAGAAAATGCAAATTTAGGAGGGCGGACTCTCGGGCCTGCTCTAGACCAATCAGGGCGCGGTCCGCTCGCTCCGTGTGCTCTCCGAAAAGACCGGTGTCCTGGGGCGGGGTGGGGAGGGGGGAAATGGGGCCGCCGGGAGCTACGAGCTCTGATTGGTTGTCTGCTCCCCGAATCCCACGAACTCTTGCGAAGACCTTGAAGACCTCCTGGGTCAGTTGAACAACAGGCCCAGAAAGGTTGAGAAACTCCGACCCTATCTGGGCGTGGTGACACACGCCTTGCAGAGGCAGACAGATCTCTGTGAGTTCGAGGCCAACCTGGTCTACAAAATGAGTTTCGGGACAACCAGGATTGTTACAAAGAGGAACCCTGTCTTGACAAACCTAGGAAGAGGAGAGAGAAAAAAACCTGACCCAGGCGGTGGTGACACTCGCGTTTAATCCTAGCACTTGGGAGGATCTCTGAGTTCTAGGCCAGCCCGGTCTACAAGAGTGAGTTCCAGGACAGCCAGGGCTTACACAGAGAAACCCTGTCTCGAGAAAAGAAAAAAAAAAAAAAGGAAAACCTCGACCCATCATAGAGCTGGATCAGGGCCCCACTACTGTGACAAAAGTAGAGCAGAGTGGCGACGGGATCTGGAGAGGGCAGAGACTCGGACAGACACTCGAAAGGGACCCCGGAGGCTGCGAAAACCAGTGAGGACGAGGAGGGGCCCCTCCCCACACACCCCTGCCAGGGCGGCTCAGCAAGAAGGCGTAGTCGCTGCGGGGCAGGCTCTTTATTGGGCTCAGGGCGCGTCCAGTAGCAACAGCTTCTGCATGTACGAGTCTAGCCAGCGGCGGCGCTCCAGGGCTGCTAGCAGGCGCGCGCGCTCCCGAAAGGCTGCGTCGTCCGCTAGCGCCAGGCTGCGCCGAGACAGGGGAGTACCCAAGTCCGCCCAGGCCCTGCCTGGGGCGCGGAGGCTGCGGGAAGAGAAGTGCAGGGGCTGAGCGCCAGGCCCCACGGACCGCCAGGCCCCACTGTGTTCTAACGTCAAACCCACCTCCACCCCGGCGTGTTATCTCGCCTTCCCTTGGGGTGTCTCTTCCCTTTCCTGGGAGTCGGGGGACCTCACACCTACCTGAACACACCAGTGAGGGGCAGGGCAACACCCGAGGCAGGGCCGGTGCCCCAGGGCACAAGCAGCAGCAGCAGCAAAAGCAGCAGCCGCCGCTCTCGGGGGCTCCTGGACACCTGGAAGGTCTCCATCACCTGTGGACACAGGGGACAGGATCTTGATGTCGTCATACAGCCCTGAACCTGGGAGCCCACGGTCCAACACTCACCATCAGCCTCCCTCCGGGCCCCCTACCGTGCAGTTAGCTCAGGCAGCGATGCTCACACCCTCCCTTATATACCAGCACAACCCCCGCCTTGGCAGTGACGCAGGCCGGGCAGGGGGCGCGGGGTCACTCCACCCCACGCTCATTAGGAGCCGCCAGCGGTAATGAGAAGCCTGGTGGGGGCCTCCGCTGCTGTGGCCGCCACCAACTAATTGGGACCCAGAGCTGGTACTGAAGAAGGGGAATGGGGGAAACAGACAGAGAGAAGGACACAAGGGGTGTGTCAGAGGGATAAAAATAGAGACTGCAGAGGGGGACCATTAGAGCACCAGTCGGGGACACAGAGAGAGGCAGAGAAGAGAGAGAGAAGAGGAATCTAAGAGGAGAAAGAGGGAAGGAATAACCTCCAGACAAGACAAAGACAGGGTGCCCTCGGAAGGAAATAGCAGGAAGAGAGGAAGGCCTGAGGGCTCTGGAGATGGGGAGGAAGGCTGAGAGAAGAGGGTGGGAAAGGATGTCAAGCTCAGCAGAGACAGGCAGGGAGGGAGAGAGGAGCAGGCAGCGTGCAAACAAGTGAAGTCACCACTGTGAAGCTGGACACAGCCCAGGGCTTCCACAGGTCTGTCTTACCCCTCCCCCCAGGGGACACCTGCACATGGTGAGGATAAAGCCCCGTCCTCCATACCTGGCATGTTTAAAGGGGGCTCCCAAGGACACCCCATAGTGTAGTACACCTCATGCCAGCACTCAGAAGGCAGAAGCAGGAGAATCCCCGCAAATCTGAGGCATGTGTGTGCTACATAAGACTGTCTCAAAGGAGGGGCAAATAGAGACCCTTCTCCCATACCATGGGCAAAGGCGGGGGACGCGAGCTTGAGAGGAGAAGTCTAAGTCTGGGATCCCAAACCTGAAGGTGGTCGAGACAGGGCCTTAGACCCCTGGGTTCTGGCAAGGGGGATACGTGGAAGCCTGGATTCTTTATTGTGAAGGGGACAGAGTCACCTAGTGACTTTAAAGTGGAAAGGTACCAGGGACTTGGGTTTGGTTGGGGAAATTGGAGAGGGCCCAGGACTTTTTTGTTTGTTTTCAAGACAGATTTCTCTGTGTAGCCCTGGTTGTCCTGGAACTCGCTCTATAGATCAAGCTGACCCAGAACTCACAGAGATCTGCTTCCCAGCTGCTAGGATTAAAGGTGTGTACCACCACTGCACAGCTGGGCCCAGGGCTCTTATATATGGGGAGTTTGTTTTGTGTCTGTTGGGCTGGTAGTTTTCAGGAGGTTTTTTATGTGTGTTTAATTGGTTGGTTTTATTTTTGTTTTAGAGTCAAGGCTTCACACTGCAGCCCAGGCTGGCCTGGAACTGGTTCTGTAGCCCAGGATGGCCTCAAATTTATGGCAGCTTTCCTAAAAGCCTCAGCCTCCCAGATGCTGGAATCAAAGGCATGGACCACCACCTGGGACCACCACCTGGGACCACCACCTGGCTCTTGTTTTATTTTGATACTGTCCTGCTAGGTAGCCTAGGCTGGCCTGGATCTCACTATGGTCACCCAAAGATGACTTTGAACTCATAATCCCACCTCAGCCCTCCAAGAACAGAGATCACAGGCCTGTACCATCATACCTGGCCAAACCTTGGCTTCAGAAGGAAAATAACTTAGTTAAATCCTAACTTCCTTCTCTGCCATAGTGATGAGGTCCTATGTCTGTTTCTTTAAGAACCTCAGCTTGTTGCTAGGCTCCCAGGATTCCCCAGGGAGGGGGTCAGGTGCGTCACCTGTGTGCCGCTGGGACCCTAGCGCCTGCCCCTTCCAGCGCCATTCAGCAGCACTCCCTGCCTGCCTCTTTGTCAGCGCTGGTCATCTGTTGTTGTCTTGGACACCACTGCACAGGTAAGAGATCCCATGACCCCAAGTGACCCTGTCCCACCCTCGCTCACTCCTCCATCTCTAGGCCACCATAGAAGCCATGGGTCCATCCTCTATAAACAGGGGACAGAGTTTACTGTCCTGCCTCCACCCCCTCAGGCCGAGGAGTCTATACCTCACATCCCTGTTTCTCAAAGGCCTGGAGCACAGATCCCAACATCATCTGACCCATGGTCCAAGGATCCCATGGCCTTTCCCCTGTAACCCTCAGCCCTTCACTCTGTAGGACTCAGAGCCCAGTAGCTTCCTTTCGGGGCCTTGGAGTCTTCCTCGAAGACTTCCTCTAACTCAGCTTGGGTCCCGGCATCTTGGGTCCTGATGTCTTAAGAGTCCTGGGAGGAGAAGGTCACCCCATGTCCCCTTGGCCATCTGATACCTTCTGAAGGTAGAATCTAATATTTGTGGGGCCATGGTATCATTGTGTCCCAAGTTTTCAGGGACCCCACTGGGAAATGCACTACCACTCTCGAATCCCTGAACTCCCGTAACCTTAGTGACCACAGTTATCAGCCCACACCAGGGACTTGCAATTGGGTTTTGCTGGAGTCCCTGGACAGACCTGGTCCTTCTGGAAGCCAGGGAGTGTGGCCCCTGGGAGTGTGTGTGACTCCAGCATGCTTTGGCTTTAACCTTTTCCTACCTACTCCTTCCACAGCTATAGAGTTCTCTGAGCCATGCAGCCCTTCCGCCCCATCTTCCTACTCTTCCTCCTTGGTTGTTTGGGTGCCAATGCGGCTCCCTCAGCCTCTCTGCCTGTGGGCTCCGACCCCCAGGGGACGGTCCAGCCCTCTAGGATGCCCATTGGTGCCCTAGATAATTCTCCTGGAGATGGGCCCACCCTGGGACACCCTGCAACAGTTCTTCCTGAGCCCTCCAAGTCACCCTCAGCTTCCCCTCATATTTCCAGGAAAAACTTAAGTGAGACCCCCAGCCCCAGCCTCTCAGATTCTCCAGAGACCCTCATGCCTGTCCAGCTCACAACCTCAGGCACAGAATCCCAGGATGCCTCACAAACAAACCCCTCCAAAACAATACTGCCAGAATCTTCTGAGACCCCCAAACCTGACCTGACTGCAATTTCCCAGTCTGGGTTTCTTGAAACCCAAAACCCTGATCCCTTCACAGCCTCACCCCCAGAATCTCCTGACGCTGAATATATTGACCCTACACCAACAGCACACCAAGACTCCCCTGAGACCCCCAAAGGACATACCCCCCAAATCACTCCTGGCGAAGAGCCTAAGACACCAAGTCCTGGCCCCACCCAACTCCTCGGCTCAAAATCCCTAGAGACCTATGACCCTGGTACCCCCAGAACCCTAAATTCTGCCTTACTGCCAACCACTCATCCTGACCTGACTGGAACTCCCCAGCCAGCATCTCTCATCACCCACAATTCCAATACCACTGACACCCCCCAAACACAGTTCCCCACAGCCCTCAACCAAAAGGCAACAGAGACAGCTGTGAGCTCTGACTTGGAAATCACCACTAGTCTTCCCGCCCAACCAGCAGCAACCTTCGGGGAGGAAACAACCACACCCAGTGAGCCAGGCTTGAGTCCCAGTCCAGCAGCCCCTGCAGCCACCCAAGCTGCCACTCCTGGCCTGTCCACCTCAGATTTCCTAGGAACCAAAGAGCTTAACGTACCCCAGAACTCGGGCCCTAATGGTCCAGATACCCCTCCTCCCTCGGCACGGATTGCAGGCCCCCCAGCTGCTATAGACAACCCCAATCAGGTAGCCCCTGGGATGCCACAGGCCCCTCAGAGACACAGCCGAGGAGAGACAGTCAACACTATCATCGTGGTGGAACGGGTGAAGGAGACTGGTGAGAACCTCAAGGCAGACGGCTGGGCCTGGACCTGGGTCTGAGAGAGGAGGGCTGGGCCTGGGCAGTGGGTCTGAGAGAGGAGGGCTGGGCCTGGGCAGTGGGTCTGAGGGAGGAGGGCTAGACCTGGGCAGTGGGTCTGAGGGTGGAGGGCTGGGCCAGGAGCCTTGGGTTTGAGGGAGGAGGGCTGGGCCTGGGCAGTGGGTCTGAGGGAGGAGGGC